CATGCGCCGCAACCCGTCGTATCGCCGGACGATGTATTACTATGGCGGGGCTCGCAGCCCGTGAACACACCTCTACCGCGGAAAGGGAAGAAGCGAGCGAGGAGCTCTTCGCCGGTTGCACCGTCACAAGAGGAGACTAAAGTGGAGTCGTTGAAGAAGGACTTGACGACGCCTCAGGCTGATCCTGCCACCGAGCTCTGGAACCGATACACTAGCAATAAAGGCACACCAACAACGAACAAGGGCGTCACATTTGCGCATCTGATCAATGAGTCTTCACCGCGGTCCTCTGCAACAGCTGGCAGCGTGAGTGGGCTGCGGCGGTGGGCAAGCTGTGGGGTGGAGTTCCCTGCATCAACCTCCAAGAGACGGCGAACAACAGGCGTGTTTAGAGAAGGACAGGAGCCTGCCGGGGATGTATTCTGCGCGCCAAGCTCAGAGGGACTGGTACAGGGACAACCGGAGAAGAACAAGCTGGCCAACATACTACAGAAGATGCGAGACTCAACTAACAAGCAGCCGTCGAAGATGTGCTCTTCTGAGATACCGTCGAGCTCCTCACCGCTCCCCGAAGCTGCGGATCGCCATGTTTGCCCTTCACAGTCACCCTTACAACGACGCGTCCCCGAGCAAGACCACGAGGAGGAGTTGGAGCAAGTTCCAGAAGAGATGGAAGTTGAGGAAGAAGCGGACGAAGTACGGGAACCATCTGGGTTTTCAGATGACTTCGGTGATGCCGCATTCGACTCTGAGATGGTAGAAGCACTTGAGATATCGCAGCAAGTGATTGAGCGTTCACCAGATCCTGTCGATCCAGCTCCAGCCGTCATTCAAGATGTACCATCGGTAACGGCAATTTCGACCGTGCATCATGCTACTACGGTTCATGAAGGGAGCGATGACGAGTTTGACCTAGATGGAGATGTGTTCGCGGCAGATTTGGAACACGTCGCATCCATGTACGACAGCAGATCTGAGGTGACGCCGGATGGGGGACAAGCACAAGCTGTCCTGAATGATGCCACCAGAGCGCCTCAGAACCACTCTGCACCCACTGTTATCAACCTTGTTGACGACGACGACGACGACGACGACGATTTTGGAGCAGATGATATAGACGCTGATGAGTTTGCTGCTGCCGAGGTTGCAGCTACGCAAGGAATTACGAATCATGTACGTAGATACGTCTCTATCTAAATGTAGATATGCTGAGTTATGAAGAGTCAACAGGACGCTAGAGCCATACAGCGCTACCTCGTGAAACGCGTAGATGAGGGCATCTATACTACCGAGAGGGGATACGAGATGCCTGAAAAGGTAAGATTCCGAGACGTAGATATGAGATTGACAGATTCCTAATGATAAGCACAGATCCTGCTGGTTGAAGAGGAGCGAACCAAGCTCTTCAAGGCCATCACTCTGCGGCAAGCATGGTTCGATACTCCCTGCACACCAGAGTCATATGTCCATGTGATTGGCGAATTCACGTCCACCGGACAATGTATTATTGACGATAATCACAACATGCTCATCCTTCATCCCGATCATTTGATTTCAGCTACCGTTGTGGCAGACTCATTTGGCTGCATGAGACGCGCTGTACTCCAAGATCGGGTCAAGGCGACTAGCAAGGCGAATCCACCGATGCTCTATGGTACACTTTTGCATGAGCTCTTCCAAGAGGCCTTGAGGGCCAATCAATGGGACACTGACTTCCTCCTGGAGACCATTGACAGACTGCTACCTGCGAAGTTTGAGACCATCCTTGAGATCGTCTCGACGTGTGAAGAGGTCAAAGCCCACATGAGCAGCAAACTGCCGGAACTACAAGCATGGGCAAAGGTTTTCGTACGAGCCAAGCCCAGCGCCGATGCTTTGGTTCGAGAACGCAACGGAAAGCAGTCCATCATGAGCATCAGCAAGCTTCTCGATGTCGAAGAGCACGTCTGGTCACCGATGTATGGCCTCAAAGGCAATATCGACGCTACCGTTGAGGTTACGATGCAAGACGACCATGGAGAGCGTGTGTTGACCGTTCCATTCGAAGTCAAGACTGGAAAGAACTCCTCAAACGCTGCGCATGTTGCCCAAACTGCTTTGTACAACCTGCTGTTGTCAAATCGATACGGTAAGATGAATGTCAAATGTTCATAAACTTGCGCTAACTTGCACAGATGTTGATGTAGCGTACGGTATCTTGTACTATCTCGAAACCTCGGACACCAGCCGCATTCCCGCAATCCGCAACGAGATCATCCATATGATCATTAAACGCAATGAACTAGCCTGCTATGTTCGGGACCGCATACAGTTACCGCCGATGTTGAAAGAAGACTTCAAGTGCGGGAAGTGCTACGCTCAGGAGGCATGCTTTCTGTACGATAGGTTAGTAGAGGACGGCAACGGCGAATTACTAAACAAGAAGGCGAAGGAACGATATGATGAGCTTGTCCGATCACTCAAGCCAGTAGATCAAGAGTTCATGAGGAAGTGGGATACGCTTCTCACCAAGGAAGAGTCTGATATGATGAAATTTCGCCGTGAGCTCTGGACCATGCTTAGCACAGAACGCGAGAAGCTGGGACGATGTTTCTCGAATGTCATACTGGAGCCAGGATCAGGTCATGAAGAAAAGAATGGCCAGAAGATCAACCGTTATAGCTACACTTTCGTGAAGCAGAACCCCAAATCCGGCTTTTCCTTCACGGAATCACAGCTGATCATCGGAGAGCCCGTCGTTGTATCCGATGAGAAGGGTCATTTTGCGCTTGCAAATGGATACGTTACGAACGTTCGCAAGCGACGCATTACCGTGGCAGTTGATAGACGCCTACACAACGCCCGGACGAGGCAACCAGGCTTCCACTCGCAGCGCAACCAGACGTTCGCTGGTATCATGGAAGTCACGAAGGATGGTGAAAAATCCGTAGTGTCCCAAGAGGATGATGAGCCCATCTTGTATCGGCTCGACAAGGACGAATTCAGCAACGGCATGGCGGCTGCTCGGAACAACCTCATTCAGATTATGGACGATAGTGTGTACAAAGCTCGCGATCTACGCTCTTTGATCATTGGGAGTCGAGCACCGGTCTTCAACAACATCTCAACATCCGCTGCCACAGCAACACAGGCTAATGGAATGTCGATGAACACAGATCAGAAAGATGCAATAGCGAAAGTCATGTCTGCCAAAGACTACGCGCTGGTGCTTGGTATGCCCGGCACTGGCAAGACGACGACCATTGCGCATATCATTCGAGCTCTCGTTGCAAAGGGCAAAAGTGTGCTCCTCACTTCGTATACACACACTGCTGTCGACAACATCCTGCTCAAGATTCGAAGTGACGATATCGGCATCTTGCGTCTTGGTGCTTCAGCCAAGATTCATCCAGAAGTCCGGGAATTCGCTACAATTGCGGCCCAGCCGACAGACAGCCTTGAGGAGCTGGAGAAGACCTGGATGAAACCTCCTGTGGTAGCGACTACCTGCCTGACGATCAATCATCCACTCTTCAATCGCCGAGTATTCGACTACTGCATAGTAGACGAAGCTTCACAGATTACACTACCTGTCTGCCTTGGACCGATCCGGATGTCGCAGAAATTCATCCTAGTGGGGGACCACCACCAGCTTCCCCCCCTTGTACAGAATAAGGAAGCTTCCGAAGGAGGTCTTGATGTCTCACTCTTCAAGCTCCTCTGCGAAACACATCCGCAATCGGTCGTCAGTCTCGCGCACCAATACCGTATGTGTGCCGACATCATGCTGCTCTCGAACAAGTTCATCTACTCTGGACAGTTGAAGTGTGGAACTCCAGAGGTAGCGAACCGACAGTTGCATATCCCCAAGCTCACAGGGCTCCTCACACATCACCACAAACTGCATTCGAGCCGACCGATTCTACGGCCGTCGTGCCCTGGTCCCAACACATCGACATGCTGGCTCTCGCGTACACTAGCACCAGAACAGCCCGTAGTCTTCATCAATACCGATCTCATCTCCCCCAAACTAGAAACACAACTCGGTCCCCGCATCACCAACAGTGTCGAAGCCCGCCTCGTCACTCACCTTACCGTCTCCCTCCTGTCCCTCGGCATCCCAGCTTCAGAGATCGGCGTCATTGCATTCTACAGATCTCAACTCGCTCTGCTCCGCCAATCCCTCGCATCCGCACACACACAGACCCAAGCCTCCGAACTCGCTGCCCCTGCGATTGGGCCAGGCGCAAGCGCAGTCGAACTCCACACAGCAGACAAATTCCAGGGCAGAGACAAAGAAGTCGTCCTCGTATCGTGCGTCCGGAGTAACGAAAATGGCACCATAGGCGACCTCCTCAAAGATCAGCGACGAGTCAACGTAGCCCTCACGCGCGCGCGATCGAAGCTCGTAATCCTCGGTTCCGAACAAACACTATCTCATAACGACTTGCTGAAGGATATGATAGCTCTCTGCAGAGAGAAAGGCTGGGTTCTGGATCTTGAACAGGATATGGTTGATGGGCATTTGTTCGATGAGGGCGTTACGCAGACTGGCAAGTTCTCGACGAGTCGGAGTGCGGGGAGGGTTAAGTCTCCAACGCCGTCTCCGAGTAAGAAGAGGAGGGCGCTTGGTGATATTACGGGTGGTGCGCAGGCGAATGCGAGACCGCAGAAGAGGGGGAATCAGAGTAGTCAGGGATTAAAGACTCCGAAGAAAGTGTTCACAGCTGGGAAGAGAGGGATCCTTGATGGAAGACCGGTGCTGAGGGACGTGTATAACGACGCGATGTAAGCGGAGGTTTGTGATTTGTATAACATAGGTTCAGGAGTTCGTGCTGGAGAACAAGCGAGTCATAGCATCGGTATTGGATAGCGTAGCATCATTGGTGGGACTTGGGTATCCGTAGCTTTGACCGCTCTAGCATAGGTGCAGCGAAACGCACGTTCATCCAATCGGCTCTTCTCATTCTTTGGTTGCGCACTAGTGAGGCAGCAATGATGGCATGGGGACAAAAAGTAATGGTGCGCGCCGGGAATCGAACGCCGGGTCTCGAGATAGCATAAGGAGGGCTTCCTGGTAACAGTCAAGGATCTTACCACTAGACTACGCGCACTGTATGTGATTTGATACGTGTTAGCTTGATGCAAGTGTTACATCATGTCGCATAATTGCAGGTGTGGAAGTAAATCTGTATGTTGGGTTTGTTTCGAAGAATTTGATCATGTCGGCATTCATGGTTCTCACCCAATGAGATATCCTCAATGGTTGGAAGGCTATTGATTGGCTTCTAGGTAGTCCTGTTAGCTGATTTCACTGCTCCGATGCCGTCTTGAGTTTGGGTCTTCATATTTCAAAAGTGCATATAAAAAAAGCCACATATGCCTTTGAATACCAGTATTGATTTCAGAGCTAGCTGGAAAGAAGTACGAGATTGCAGTCAGCGAGTATTTCCTAAATTGGACCTCACGATGCTCCAAGTGTGTACTCTGGTTCGAGTTCCAGAACTTACCCAGCAATATGAGAGATGTGAAGCTTGCTTGTCAGTCGGCAAATTATTTGGAACAGTAAACCCGCGTTTGTCAAGCCATCATCCTCAGTACAAACAATTCTCGCAAACAGTTTGTTCTCCATCTAGTATGCTATATCGTCTTCGCCCACCACTGTCTTCTTTCCTTCCTCCCACAACCACATTTTCCAAAGAGAAACAGTCAACAAAAACTTCCTACAAGCACCATGTCCAACACCGAACCTTCCGGCTACGAGGAATGGAAGGCCCACATGGCCGCCCGGAAGAAAGAAGAAGAGGCGAAAGAGGCCAGGAGGAAGGCGAAGCAGGAGAAGGAGAAAGAGATGGAGCAAGCTGCCACCCAGGAAGACACACTCACAGCTGCGCCCACCAAGTCCAAGTCCAAGAACCAAGCTAAGACTGAGCCTGAGACTACACCCAAGGCGGCGAGCAGCAAGGGCATGGAGGGAGAGATAGTAGATCCCTCTAGAATCGGAGAGCCCGGCCCTATAGGTAAGAAGAGAAGCAATTGGGTAAAGGATTTGAGGGCGAAGAATGAGGAGAGGCTTGAGGATGCTAGTCTGGAGTTCATGAAGGATCTCAGTGATGATGAGGGACAGGGCAAGAGGGAGAAGAAGGAGGGTAGGGCGCTTGAGGATGAGACGACTAACGATGAGGAGGGCGAGCTATGAGGTTGTGTGAATATGGTTGGAGGACTTCAGTGTATTTGGTGTGAGCGGGTTGAGGTAGATGTTAGGGGATAAAGTACTTCTGATACTTGATACTTTGACGTAGTTTGTAGATTGTATTACTTGTGTTGAGGGGATTCAGTAGTTCTATTATGTGTGTACCGGATTCGATGTTAGTTCTCGAAGTTCTCATGAGGCGTTACGCTTATATATAGTTCCGAGATGTACAGAGAGGTACATGAGCAGCTTCAATGTCTCTGCCTCTGATGCTATAAGCCAAACGTCAAGACCTATAGCGCTTCTGAGGTGCAAGATGATTATAGCACTAGGTAGTTAGCATTCCGTAGCATCTCCACCGTATAGGCGTGGCTGAAGAGCTTCGTCCATTGTTTAGTTGCGCTACCTATCCACATATCAGCTTCTAAAATGCTCCTGAAGTATGATACGACCCACTAGCTGGAGTGCTGATGGTCAGATCTTGATTGTTCCTTGCTAAGATCCCTAGAAACAGCCCATTCTGTCCAGGTGAAGCTGAAGTGCTTCGATGCCCTTTCAGTGCACCCTACTTGCTCGATTTTGATCGCTGAAGTGCTCCCGAGGTGTGATACCAGTTGAAAAGCTGTGGAAGCTCGTAGAAACGCGGTTGTCGCGTCAACAGCCATAGCTATAGAACAATAGATCTCTCACCTGAGTGAACCTTTTTTTCCTCTCCCACACAACTCCACATCAACGTCTGTACATTCGTGTCGCAACCCCCAGTAAAGACTAGACTTAGCTAACTGTGACTCCAGAATACTAGATATGTCGAGTACTGGAAAGCCCAGTGAGTACCAGCCTGAGGGTTTTCTAAAAGCTCTGGCGCTCAGTGAATGCACAATCTATATTTACACAACGAGCAACAAGCAGCGATGGACGAGGTGCTAACTGTGCTTATAGGCTTCGACCTTGCGGCCATCCAGGTCGCCGTCCGCGAGAAGATGGGGAGCATCAAGCTCCAGAAGTTCCGCCGCGAAGTGGACGGAGAGTTGTTGGTGGAAGACGACGACGAGGTGGTACGTGGTCATAGCTCAAGCTTGAGCTCCACAACGGCAGAGCTGCAGCCCACTAACTCCTCTCCTCAGCTGCAGGCACCGGCACCACCACCACCACCCGCCCTCGACACGATGCCGCCGCCCGCCCGCGCCCGCCCGCTCGCCAAAGAGTCGTTCTCGAAGACGTTCGGAAAGTTTAAGACGTCCGTCTACACCGACAACCTGCGCCCGGCGGCTCCGGTGCCGCAGGGACACTTCATCCGCACCCTGTCCTGGTAATTTCTCCTACGCATTGGGCTCTGGAAGCACTGCTACACCCAAGAACAACTCAATCGGGTCCCCGGATTGCTTGCTGGAGCACTTCTGCCCGAACAATCGAGCGTGAGCTTTGCTAACCTTGTCCCACTCTACAGGAACCAGCCGGGCACACTCATCGCGACTGGCGCCGCCGACCGCACGCTGAGGATCTGGAACCCCGAGAAACCCAACGTCAAGAACAGCACCGAGCTCAAGGGCCATTCAGGCTCGATAGAGAAGGTCGCGTTCCATCCCGGCACCGAACACGAACTCGCGACATGCAGCGCAGACGGAATGCTCCGCTTCTGGGATGTTCGCAGCAACAAGGCGTCCGTGGGCGAGGTCAAGGTCGGCGATGGCCCCTTCACGCTGGCTTGGAAGCCGGACTCCGGAACTGAGATCGTCGTTGGACGCAAGGTAAGACTTGCCGGCGAAGGTTTAGCCGGGTCTGTTCTAACGGAAGCATAGGACAACACGCTCGTGGCAGTTGATAGAACGAACTTGAAGATCAGCAACGAATACCGTCAGAGCGTCCAGACGAACCAATGCGTCTTCGACTGGTCCGGTAAACACCTCTACCTCACGCAAGGCGATGGCAGCATCAAAATCGTTAGATACCCCGATTTCACGCCTGTTCTCACGCTCAGCGCCCACACGTCATCCTGCTACGCGGCCGCATTCTCTCCGTCCGGTGAATATCTTGCGGTAGGCGGCGGCGACGCACTACTCTCGCTCTGGAACGCTCAATATTGGGCTCTCGCGACGACATTCAACATCGCTGATGGACCGATCAAGAGCGTGGATTTCTCATTCGATGGAACCTACATCTGCGCCGGCTCCGAGGAAGACAAGAAGCTGAACATCGCTCACGTTGAGTCTGGAGAGGTTGTTCACACTGTCGACGTGGGTGTGCAAGCTACGCAGGTCGCATGGCATCCGTGCCGGTGGGTGTTGGCATACTCGGCGGAGTCACAGGGCCTGAAGATTGCTGGAAGTATTGCTTGAGCTTAAAGTCTGGCCACCAGCGAATGACTGCGGATGCGAGTACAGCTACAACTAACCACTGCGAATACGACTTCAACAGCGACTACGACTAGCGACTACACCTAGCGACTACCACTGGCGACTACTCCGACTGGCGACTGGTGACTGGCGAAAGGCCTGATGGACTTGTTTTTTCCCCTTGCGTTTTTGGTAATGACATCTAGAGTCACAATCTGGCATATCTCGCCAGCATTGCGACTACGACTGGCGACTTGCGACTGGTTCAAAGCCTGATCAAAAAGTGTTTTCCCTTGCGTTTTCGGTAATGACCTCGAGACTCACGATCTGGCATATCTCGCCGGCATTGGTAGCATGGTAGCAAAGGCGTTTGACGGGCATGGCATTCGGAAGATACCCCTTTGAAATGGAACTCTCCTCTCTCTGCTAGTCTATTTCCTCTCTTATGCTTGAAATGATTATCCGACAGCCCTGAAATTTTCCACTTAGCTGAACCTCCGCAACACAGGTACGATCCGGTCCTAACCGGCATCTAACGGTTATGCAGGAACGAGACCCACTTGCAGCTGTCATCGGCATCAATTCTCCCGGTGACGACATGATTCCTTGTTTTCCCAAATTCCTCCATATTCCTCCGAACAATCTATATTCGACACTTTTTCGTCAAACCTGCGAGAAGTTACCGAAAATGGATATCACTGCACCCCTCAACCCCGCAAGCCTCTTCTCTGCCAAGGGTCTCGTGGTGGTTATCACCGGTGGCGGTTCTGGTGGGTGCATTTGGAGCTACCCCGCCCCCACCATTGAGCTCTTCAATGGTTGATGTGCTACCACTCACACGTTGAACAGGTCTTGGCCTCGCAATTGCATCGGCCCTGTACCAGAACGGTGCAGCGAAGGTTTACCTACTGGGTCGCCGACAAAACGTTCTCGAAGATGCCATCAAGACTCTGGAAAGCTCAGCATCTGCGCCTAAGACTTCATCCAAAGTCCTCAGCGCAATATCGGCAGACGTGACATCGACAGAGTCTGTTGCTGCTGCCGTGGCGCAGATCACAAAAGAAGCTGTTTACGTAGACATCTTGATCAACAACGCGGGAGTTACAGGTCCAAACAATGCGAAAGCGTTGTATAATGCTGGCTCTATCGAAGAGCTGAAAGACGTCATGCTCCAGGACTGGGAAGGTTGGGGCTCGACATTCGCCATCAACACCCAGGCCGTTGTAGGCGTGAGCGCTGCCTTCTTGCCATTGCTAGAAGCAGCGAACAAGAGAAGAGGATGGGAGACCGGCAAAGTCACTGGGAACGGCAATCCTAGGAAACAGGATACTGCTGTCTTGGAAAAACTCGGACTGGATAAGGACGATGACCGCCTGGCGCATATTATCACCGTCGCCTCTGTGGCTTCGTTCATGCGGTACTGCACTGCGGGGCTGGCGTATAACGCGACGAAAGCGGGGGCGATGCATATCTCGAAGATGCTGTCTACAATTCTTTCGGAGTGGGGTATCAGGACGAATGTCGTTTGTCCAGGACCGTATCCGAGTGAGATGACTGTTGGACGCGATCCGAAGTTTGGAACGAGCGA